AAAATGGTTCTGTGCATGTCATTATTTGTAATTTTTATCCAGCGTAAGTTGGAATTTTAATATTTTATTCTTATGTGGGAATGAGTGTAATTTATCATTTAAAAAGAAATGTTCACAATAAAGGTTTCATTTTTTGCCGGCCCAATAGACGAAGCGTTAAGACATTATCTGCTACTGTGGGGTGCTCGGGTGGTCGAGTGTCAGGAATGCGTCCTGCGTATCTGGGTACCAGATACGTATTCCTGACACTAAGCCCGACTCATAATGAAGGCAGCCGGGTATCGGAGGACGAGACCTGACATATTCTGGACGGCCAACCCTCCGAAAAATTGCTGGAAAATACTGGATTCGATTCCCGTGTCTTCTAAAGCGGTAGGCTGACGTCTTAACATCCCCGACCGTCTACTCGATATACAATAACTTGAAGATTCTGGAACCAATCGGAAGTTTATTTATTATTTACAAATTATCTTTATATCCTGCCCTGATAATCTGCTTATTTTCTCAGTCGCTTTACTATTTTTGTGAGGATTTTGCTCAACCCATTGGGTTCGACAGAGAGCACAAAAATCTAATTCTTCTCTTAAAGTAATTAAGATTATAGATTTTTAACAGCACACACCTGTGCCTCCAGAAACCCCCAAAATTCAAAATCTAAACAACAATTAAGAAACGCTATCTTCGCAACTTTAACACTACGTAAAAATTAAAAGACTTAGTTTCAAGCTGTTTCGAACACTGTAGTTTAATTATAACTTTTAACTACAATTGCATAATTATATTCTGATATAAATTAAATTACAGACTAGATATGACCAGATTGTCGACATGATCGTGAGACGTTATCTCTTAGCAGATCGTCAAGAGATAATGTCTCAAGATTGGACAATCTACGGAAAACTAGCCGCTATTTACGTGCCAAGAATCTAAATAGCGGCCAGTTCCCCCATAGAAAACTAGAAATGTCCAGCCTGTTGGCGACCCCCGAAAATCCATCCAACCAACTACCAGTGTTCGTTGGTGTTATCTTCTCTGTAAAACTGGATGGAGAACACATTTATATTAAAGGTTCTCATATAAGTCCTCCGGATGGATGAGACGGTTAATGCGCTACCCTATTGCTGTGACAGACCTGGAATCGAATTCGAAGCAACTTCCTGGCAGTTTTTTATGGGCAATCTGTTCGGGACGTGTTAAGTCCCGTGTCTGACCTCCCGGCCGCTCCCCATTGTGAGTCTGAACAAATCTAGAATGGATATAATTAAAAAGATCGTCTTAGTCCATGGAGAGGAAACAGTTCAAAATATGTACTTTTTAAATATTCAATGATTTTTTTTTATACAGAGTAGAGGATTTAAGTCAGAAGCCGTACAAGAAAGGCAATTCATGTGAAGAATGCGAGAATAAGGATAAATGTGATTTTAATTTATGTGGTAAATTTTTTATTATAAATTTATGTTTGATTTTTAAAATGTTTTTATTAATNATGACCATCCAATGAAAAAAAAAAAAAGGTTTTCGTATAAGTCCTCCGGATAGATGAGACGGTTAATGCGCTACTCTATTGCTGTGAAAGACCTGGAATCGAATTCGAAGCAACTTCCTAGCAGTTTTTTTATGGGCAATCTGTTCGGGACGTGTTAAGTCCCGTTTCTGACCTCCCGGCCGCCTCCATTGTGAGTTTGAACAAATCTAGGATGGATATAATTAGAAAGATCGTCTTACCAGCTAGTCAATGGAGTGGAAACAGTCCAAAATATATACTTTTTTAATATTCAATGATTTTTATTTTATACAGAATAGAGGATTTAAGTCAAAGGCCGTACAAGAAAGGCAATTCATGTGAAGAATGCGAGAATAAGGATAAATGTGATTTTAATTTATGTGGTAAATTTTTATTATAAATTTATGTTTGATTTTTTAAATGTTTTTATTAATGCACTGTTTTATTCTTTGCAAGTGCCAAAAAATTTCGAAATATCGAATGAAACTGCTTTTTGTACACAAAGTAAATATATTTTTTAATTGTTTTATGTTCAAAAAGTATCCGAATGTTTGATAATTTATTTATTTATTTTGTTTAGGCGTAGGCCTACAATCAGAAAGTGAAGAAAACATTGCCCACAAAATTTCATCTAAATTTTTTCTGTTGTTAATTATTGGAGTATTACAAAATTATTTCTTCGTTGGAACACCTTAATGTTCAAACTTTGTTACTTTCGAGTGATTTATATGATTCATTTTCAAAATTGTATAAAAAATTTTAATATTGAAATANTATTTATTTTATTAACATTAAATAAAATGTCTTGTTTTCTCTGTAAAAATTGGATTGAATTGGTGAAATACGGTTGTGGAACGTTTGAAGGTAGTATCATTGCTTCATGTTCTGGAAGTAAATATTTTTTTATTATTTTATGTTCAAAAAGTATCGGAATGCTTGATAATTTATGTATTTTTTATAGAAGGAAACGTTGCCCACAGAATTTCATCTGAATTTTTTCTGTTGTTAATTATTGGAGTATTACAAAATTATTTCTTCGTTGGAACACCTTAATGTTCAAACTTTGTTACTTTCGAGTGATTTATATGATTCATTTTCAAAATTGTATAAAAAATTTTAATATTGAAATATTAAATAAAACTTATTTATGGCTAAAGAAAGCAATATCATTATTCCACCACTTCATGTT